GAGAAGAGCTAGATCTCTATCTCCACAAGGTAGTGGATCTAGGCATCAAGTACGGGGGCTCTTCCTTCTATGACTACCACAAGTCAGTCTCAGCGAAGGCGGCGACCCATCTCAAGCAGTTCAACATTAGAATGAACTGGGGTCAGATGGACACTGAACTTTTCTGTCGCCACTTCGCCGGACTCAGGCCCCCGGCTTGTGCCATCTGTAATTCCACATCCCACATGGCGGACTTATGTCCCGTCGAACCAGATCCCACCACCTCCACTCTCACCCCTCACCCCACGTTCACACCTCACTCCTCTTTCACCCCTCACAAGCCAGCGGGTGGTCTCCGGGATAAGCTGGATAGGCCCATCTCCTTTTTAGGTAAAGCACAGGTGTGCAATAATTTCAACGCAGGCTCCTGCAGTTTCAGCGCCTGTAGATTATTGCACATCTGCTCCATATGTTTCAGGGCACATACCAAGACCATGTGTCCAGCCAGGTTGTCACCAAACAAATGACTAACCGACATAAATATCGACAACCTGGTTTTTTATCTAAGGTGTCACCCCAGCAGGCACTTAGTGGATTTTCTCACCACAGGTTTCTCACAAGGGTTTCACACAGGCATAATAGCCATTCCCCCAGGTACACTAGAATGTCCTAATCTCCAGTCTGCACGTTTAGACCCAGTCGCTGTAGACACTCTCATTTCCGCAGAAACCACAAACGGTTTCATGATCGGTCCTTTCACCTCTTCACCGTTTTCCTCCTGGCGCACTAACCCTATTGGTATTGCTATTCACAAATATTCTAATAAAAACGTCTCATTATCGATTTATCGGCACCGCACTCCTCTTTTGTTCCAAGCATAAACGCACTCATTCCAGCAGACGAATTCTCTCTGCAGTACGTCACCATCGACGACGCCATACAGTCCATCATGACATCTGGTAATCGACCCTGGCTCAGCAAAACAGACATCACTAACGCCTTTAAATTACTGCCCATACACCCTTCACTCTGGCACTTACACGGTGTTAAATGGCGAGGGTATTATTACTTCTCAACACGACTCACTTTTGGTTCCCGAAGCAGCCCCAAACTTTTCGACATTTTCGCAGAGTCACTATGCTGGCTGCTTCTGAACGTCATCAGGTGTCACTCCGTTATTCACTATCTAGATGACTTTCTACTGATAGAGCCAGGGTCATCAACACCCACAGCAATCAATAGTACTACCGCACTTTTTTCCACACTTGGAGTCCCTTTGTCCCCAGCCAAAACTATAGGACCCACAACAAAGTTGACCTTTTTAGGCATAGAGCTCGATTCTGTCAAACTCAGAGCTAGCCTTCCACACGACAAACTTTCACGATTGAGAGGGGAGATAGACACGTTCCTGCGGAATGACGTTTGCACCAGGAGAGAACTTCAGTCCCTTCTTGGATCTCTGAACTTCGCCATGCGCATCATTCCGCAGGGAAGGTCTTTTATTTCCAGACTTCTTTGCCTGCTCCATGGAGTCCCGGACTCCGGCACAGTTTCTTTGGACCCCCACGCCAAGGCTGACTTGGCTATGTGGGGGAAGTTTTTGAAAGACTGGAATGGTATCTCCATGTTTATCCCCCCTCTCTCCACCTCTTCACCCATCATCCACACGGACGCAGCAGCCAACACCGGTTTCGCAGCCATTTTCGGGAACCACTGGTTTAGGGGCCACTGGCCCACTGAGACGGATGCCTTGCCAGGATTCAGGGAAGACCTCAACCCTATTTGAAATTTACCCCATTGTGGCGGCCGCACACACCTGGGGTCATCTCTGGTCCGGCAAGGCAGTAAAATGCTACTCAGATAACTCGGCAGCTTGCGATATTATTAACAAAGGGCGCTCATCATCCCTGACCATCATGCGGCTGATTCGCAAGTTGACCTGGCTGGCAGCATCCAATCAGTTTCACTTAGTATGTTCTCACATCCCGGGTATTCACAACACCGCCGCTGACGCTCTTTCTCGTTCTCGATTCCAGGCATTTTCTCAGGCACTCCCAGCAGCTCACCATCAGCCATCCAGGACACCACGGTTTCACGAACTAATATTGGATTAAGCACACTCTTGCTTCACGCTAGATCACTCACTCACCAAGCATTATCACCCAACACTGCTATCACTTACAATAGGGCACTTAACATATTTAACAAATTCACTGCAGAATTCGGGCTACAAGGTGACTTTTCTATCCAAACCATGGTGTCTTTTGCCTCTTTCTGCCACCTACACCTTAATCTGTCACACAACACCATTAAACTTTACCTCACCGGGGTTCAGCACCACAGCCTCACCAATTTTCCTAACAGCACCCCCTTTTTGTCTTCATACCCCATAAAAAAGGTCTTGAAAGGTATATCAAAGGTTTCACCACCACTCGCAAGCACTAGATTACCCATAGACGGGCCTATCTTCAGGTCTCTTAGCAATCTCCTTGACACAGCCCCATTTGATAGCTACACCAATACGGTGATAAAATCTGCCATATATCTCGCTTTCTACGGTTTTCTCAGACCTAGAGTTCACAGTGATTTGTCAAGGAGATATCGCACGATGCCTTAAAACTTCACACCTCACCAAGGTAGAGGATCACTACCTCCTTTCTATCCCTACCACTAAAACCAACCGGTCAATACATCCTACAATAATTCCTCTCTTCCCTACTGATAATGCCTGGTGTCCAGTGAAAGTTCTCGACCAACTACGGTCAACTTTTCGCACTCACCTGCCAGACTCTCTCCGCTCTTAACATTACAAGGGCACCCGCTTACCACGGCAAAATTGATGTCACATGTCAGAACCCTGTTATCTAAGCTCGGACACAATCCGGCTGCATCCTCCGGGCACTCCTTCCGCATAGGAGCCACCTCAGCAGCCTCAAGCACAAACGCACCGGTCCACATCATCAAAAGGCTCGGGCGATGGAAATCCTCCATATATAACGCATATATTCCGCAACCAGAGAAAGAGCTTCGCCAAGCTTTCAGAAACTTGGTCTTGTAAAATGCAATAAAGTGTGTATTTTCTCGAATTTATCTTTTTGCCCTCTTTTATTTACAGGCCCACTCGTACGTTGGTTTCGGCACACCACAACCAACTTTGCTCACAGTTACTATCCATCACGTATTTAAATTCCGAGCACAAGTAGAAAGGCCATTAGGCCTGAATTTGTGGGAGGAGTAAGTCCCCTACTTAAGCTCCCAGCCCCTACTCACCGCTGCCGCTCAGCTGATTGTCCCCACCCACCTACACCCTGTTTTAACTACATTATCCTTGGTGGGCCCTCTTTTATTTACAGGCCCACTCGTACGTTGGTTTCGGCACACCACAACCAACTTTGCTCACAGTTACTATCCATCACGTATTTAAATTCCGAGCACAAATATATATATATATATATATATATATATATATATATATTATTTTATAAAACAAATTTTTTAATTGCATTATATACCAACGTTTTTTGCTTGCACAATAAGCCCCAAAGCCTATCAATTACATGGTATTTGTGTTGGTGCCCGTCGGAGTATGCCTTTCAATCACGAACCCCGTGAAGTTTGCTTAAATGACCAGATTTCTGCCCCCCCCATGAGATTCACTTAAGGACTGTTACTGCACATCAGAAGGCCTAAATTAAGCATGTCAAACTCGCTGCCCTCCGGCCGCATGCGCACATTTTTGCGCCCCTGCTTTCCCCACATTACAGGTGCCTACTGTGCTAAAACGTATTGTGTTCCTGCTCATCACTGCTGTCTCGCGCGCTGTCTGTAGTGAAGCCAGGCGCCGGAATATGACGTCATATTCCGGAACCACTAAACTGCGCAAGGGAGCAGTGAGGAGCAGATAGAAGATCCCACTAGACCCCAGGGAGAGGCCCCACATTGGCTCCCGAAGGTAGGGAGCAATAAAGTAAGTGATGTGTGTGTGCAAGAATTTGTAAATGTGTGTGTTGGTCAGTGTTGCATTGTCTGCGACTGGACAGTGGAGTACCTGGAGGTGCATGGAGGCACACAATGCCACGTCACATTCCGACGTGACATCGATGTGCTCCACCTTCACAGGGTTTCAAGAAGTAGTGGGAGCATTAGATTTGGTAAAGGATTCGGAGGGCACCATTTGGGGTATACCAGAGGCCGGAGTCGCATACTGGCAGCGGCAATGTGAGTGGAGTCTGCTTGTTGGTTAGGGGGGGGGAGGGGTGCTGTGATTTAGTATATGGGGGGACTGGGATTTAGAAGAGGGAGGTACTGTGGTTTAGAAAAGGTGAGCGACTGGGGTTTAGTGGGGGGGGGACTAGGATTTAGTAGAGGGGGATGCTGGGGGGGGGGTTTATACTGTACTTTTCAAAATATATTTACGTTTCTATGAAAACTTAAGTGTTTTGTTTTGTTTGTTTGTTTTGCAGCCCATATGAACTTAAACCTTGTTTATGTGGCCCGTGCTAGACTTTGAGTTTGACGTGCTTGGTTTCAATGGTTGTGCTACATTTTTTCATTGAACCTCCTTTTTTTTTCTCCTTACACAATTTGTATTTATTTAACTTCTCTGCTTAATATTTCAGGTATTTCTGTACGGATGTCAGGAGCAAGAGGGGATTACTGGAACATTCTATAACTTGAAGATTTATTTTTTGACTTTTTTTTTTTTTTTTTTTTACATCTACATTTTTATGATTTTGTTTTCTAAACCATTTTTCTTGCACATTTAAGAAGTAATTGGATAAAAGTTAGAAAGCGGGTGACTTATTTTATTTGGAAAAAACATGGCGTGTGATGACTTATGATGTCAAGATCTCAGCTTCAGAATTCCTCTTGCTGTCTTTTTACGTGATATTTCATTTTACCTTTGGCGTCCTGTGTGTGCTGCATGGTGGTATGGTTTAATAGACCGCAAGAGGCTCTCATTCAGGTTTTGATTCCTATAGACTTGTACTGGTAACATCACACTTAAAAAGAGAACGAAAATGTTTTCAGCTTTGAAGAAACTAGTGGGCTCAGACCCTTCAACTTTTCGAGACACAAAAAATATCCCAGCAGGATTGCAGTCCATGAACCAGTCCCTCCAGAGGAGGTTTGCTAAGGGTGTGCAGTACAATAGTAAGTATGGCCAAAGTATTTCTAAGTAATTTAAAAGATCCTTCATGTGCAGAATCTAGACACGACATTTTTATTTATAATAAATCATGTCTTGTCTTCGTGTTCATATATGTAAGAATTAAATTACCTTATGCCCCTTCTTTCTGAAGGCTATCTACGGGACTAAATTACCATATTCAATCTTTTTTATTTTTTATTTTATGCTAGCTAAGACCTTTGTAGAATATTAATTAGCTGTCCTTGCTTAAAAGCCCGCCTTAATTGACATAATGGTTTAAAAAAGAAAATGAAAAATTGCAGTGGGTGCATAGCTCCTCCCCCTTAGCCGCACCTACCATTTTTCACAAAACATTGTTCCTATTGGAAGTACGCATTGTGTATACTTAGTACAGCCAATGAGAGGTCAATTTCAGCTGAGCTGCTGCTAGGACTACAGCTCTCAACCAATAACAATCTGCCTTTTAGGCATGACTTTAAAAATACTATAAATAGATAAGAGGATGGGCAGGTAGTGAGTTTTTAAATCAGTACCAGCTAGGAGAGGGCTTGATTAATGTCCCTGTCATGGCAAACAGAATCTTAATGAAATGCTCATATTGACTGTGTTGGAATGTCATTGAAATTCCAAGTCCATCACATGATCTCATGAGACAAAATAGGAGATTACCTTAGCACAAGATAAAGTTACAGGTTGACAAAAGATGGACTGTGTACCATCAAAGTTTTCTAAATTCCGCATGAATTTCGTGAACTTCGTGAGAGTAGGTCTGTGAAGGACCTGGAAATCCCAGTGTTGAGCTCTCGCACGTCTAGGTCGCTATACACCAGGTGGGGATGATGTAATTTGACCGAGCCATTTTAACAGAATGCTGCAAAACAAAAATTAAATGTATTTTTTATTTTTAAATATAACTATACAAAATTTAGCATGCAAAAAATTTAACCCATTCAGATCTAACTGCACCATTTTCACCTCCTGAGCGTGCGTTGGGATGGCTTCCTTTATATTAAACTTATATGTTTGGTAATGGTTGGCATCGGAGGATGTCCCAGACTTCTGTTTATAAAGTATGGATTTTAGGTTTTTGAGACAATTTTCTGCCGATTAAAAAGCAATGAACCACGAAATTGAAGAGAGAGACTGCTTTAAGCATGTTTTATTTGGTGATCTGTATCAACTGCATGCTCCATTCAGTCTGTAATGGGATTCAGTGGAGCGGTGAACCGCCCCCCTAGTACTTTAATTCATGGCTGGGTGGCAAACTACAACTCCCACTATGCTTTTGTTTTGTAGGCTGGCAAAGCATCATGGGTTGTAGGACTGGCTGTGTAACCATGGTAGCAGTTTTAGGACTGGCTATTTCATTTATTCTGTAGAATCAGAAAATTGAACAAATGCCCAAATATGTCATTGGAGACCTTCTTCACACAGGATACTTTGCATCTCTCCTTGTCTGTGGATATCAAGTAGAACGTATGATTGAAGGCGCAGGCATTGCTAATTGTAGCCATTTCAAATTTAGGCCAAAAATAGCTAACGTGAAATCCATCTCGGACACAGCAATTTGTTACAATTCAGCATTTAGTGAATAAACTCCATTGTATTGACATGTAACTAATCCACCCCAGCAGATTCTACAGTATCCGGTCATGAGTTCTGACAATGAACATAACCCGGTCTTCTTTCCATCCAACAACAAAACCCAGAATGCCCAAAAATAGCAATAGGTGCAGAATGTCTAAACTTTGCTCCAAGAAATACAGAAGAAACGTGTATGTAAAGAAGCTAGCACTCAAGGACTTGTAGAAGAATTCCAATTTAATTTTGCAGAAAATACATAGGTTGATGTTTTGGCTCGAGATGCGAACTTTCATCAGAACATATAAAAAAAAAGCTTTGTGTCCTGATGAAAGTCTTAACTGAATTGGAATCTATCTACAAGTCCTTGAGTGCTAGCTTCCTGGGGTAGGTAATTCTGACACCAGTCTGTTTTCTTGTCATGAGCGAAGTTGGTTTTTGTATCGTCTGCTGTGGGGTCCATTCACCAAGCTCTGAGTGCTGTTCGGTTGCTGTAATTTTAGTTTTTGTATTTTTGTTATTGTTCTAGTGAATAAAGTAAGCATAGTTTTATCAGCAGAGTGGTTAAATAAAGGTGGTCTCTGCCCCCTGTGTTACCACACTGATAATGGGAGTATTTAATGTCTGCTTTATTAAGGGAAAATCTGTCCAATCCTGTAGGACTGTGAGCTATCCCACTCCCAGTGCTATCAGCCGATTTTGTACAGTCCAAAGTTGGACAGATTTCCAGACATGTTGTTATATACATTATTAGCGCTGCAGAGGGGGTGGGTTCTGGGGACCAGAAATCACCCTAGTTACTGTCATACAAGGCAGATTAGTGCACACAGAATGATAGCTCTCTAAAAATGATCTGTTGTTTTGGTGCTTAAAGTGTTACGATGATAAATAAATTAGCCTTGGTAATTGTCTAGAGCAGGGCTTCCCAAACTTTTTTATGGGCCGAGACCCACTTTTGAAAACTGTAATTTTTCAAGAGACACTTGCTTTTAATGCATATTTTAAAAATGAACACTATGGTAATCTGCTTCAGATGCATACAATTGGCACACCATGGTAATCTGTTTTACAGGCGTACAATTGGCACACTATGGTAATCTGCTTCAGATGCATACAATTGGCACACCATGGTAATCCGCTTTACAGGCGTACAATTGGCACACCATGGTAATCTGTTTTACAGGCGTACAATTGGCACACCATGGTAATCCGCTTTACAGGCGTACAATTGGCACACCATGGCAATCTGCTTTACAGGCGTACAATTGGCACACCATGGTAATCCGCTTTACAGGCGTACAATTGGCACACCATGGCAATCTGCTTTACAGGCGTACAATTGGCGCACCATGGCAATCTGCTTTACAGGCGTACAATTGGCGCACCATGGCAATCTGCTTTACAGGCGTACAATTGGCGCACCATGGCAATCTTCTTAAGAGGCATACAATTGGCGCACCATGGCAATCTGCTTAAGAGGCGTACAATTGGCGCACCATGGCAATCCGCCTTGGCGGCATACAATTGGCGCACCTTGGCAATCCGCCTTGGCGGCATACAATTGTGCACCATGGCAATCCGCTTTGGCTGCATACAATTGGCGCACCATGGCAATCCGCTTTGGCTGCATACAATTTGCGCACCATGGCAATCCGCCTTGGCTGCATACAATTGGCACATGGCAGCTTTAGAGGCATAATTTGTGGTATCATGGTAGTTTTAGAGGCAGAAACTTGGCACATCATGGTAATCTGTTTTAGAGACATACAACTGCTTACTCACCGACTCAGTAAGAATCAGAAGTACTGAGTCCTGCTCTTTGATCCAGGCACCTTACGTTGATTATCCCAGTGGTGGAACTAATGTAGAGCGGGCCCTGGTGCAAGTATGTTTTCTGGGCCCCCCTCTAGTGCAATTGTGGCCAAAAGGTAGATCCCCATCTGTCATAGAACGTCAACAATACTAGGCCAGCTGGGGATCTACCATTTGCTCATCGTTGCAGGGTTATATTTGTGAGCAGTGTTTGAAAGAATGTTTTTGTATAACGTATGGGTGTATTTGTATGTTATGTTGGACTTTAAATGTAGTTGTGCTTTTTGTGTGTAGTGTTGGTGTTTGAATGAGGGGGTGTATATAATTTTAGTGTTTTAATACAGGGGTGTGTTTGTATGTAATGTTTGATTGCAGTGTGTGTATAATGTGTATATAAAATATACATATACACAATGTGTGTTTGAATGTAAGCATGTTGAGTATGTTTGTGAATGTCGGTGTTTGAATGCAGGTGTGCATCTGTGTGCAGTGTATACACTTCCACACATATACAGAGACACACAATGACACCTAGTTTCCCACACACAGATACAGACACTCAAATACACACACACACTGACCCGAAAGGACTCACAGATATACATACAGGAGTTCAGTGGGAAGGAGTGTGTGTGTGCTGGTGACGGTGGAGGGGCAGGGAGAGAAGGGGTTACAGTGTGGGGGGGCAGGGAGAGAAGGGGTTACAGTGTGGGGGGGCAGGGAGAGAAGGGTTACAGTGTGGGGGGCAGGGAGAGAGGGGTGTGTGAGGTGGGCAGTGTGGAGGCAGTTACAGTGTAGGGTGGGCAGGAGAGAAGGGGTTACAGTGTGGGAGGGCAGGAGAGATGGGGTTACAGTGTGGGGAGAGGCAGGGAGAGAAGGGGTTACAGTGTGGGGAGGGGGCAGGGAGAGAATGGGTTACAGTGTGGGGAGGGGGCAGGGAGAGAATGGGTTACAGTGTGGGGAGGGGGCAGGGAGAGAAGGGGTTACAGTGTGTGTGTGGGGGGCTGTGTCCTCCCTTTATTAAATTCCCTGGTGGTCCAGTGGGTTAACGCTCCGCTGGGTGCAGAGCTGCAGACCATGTGATAGAAGTCGCGTGAGCTCCCAATGTTGCTATGGTAACGCTCTGGGTGCTCGTGAGACTTTTATCACATGGTCTGCAGCTCTGCACTCGGCGGAGCTGCAGACCAGAGGTGCTGGGCAGACTGATTGCAGGGAGCCCGGCGGTATACAGGGCAAACTGCCAGGCCCCCTCCTGGTGTCAGGCCCGCGGTCACAGACAGAGGGCCTGACTAATCAGTCTGCCTAATTGTCTCTTAGGTCTATGGCTGCCCTGGAGGCGTGGGTCACGACCCACTGGGAATCGCCCTGCAACCCACACATTGGGAAACCCTGGTACAGAGAGCTTGGGTACATGACATCCTTCTACTGATGTGCCAAAGCCTTGGAGGACCTTTTTAATTTTATAGTTTTAAAAAGAATCTGAAAAATGTTAATTCTCACTATTGGCAAACCTTAATTCATGAAACAGTCTATGGTAAATTAACATTCGCTTGTATTTCTTTCCAAAGGATCAGATTGCTTATAGTATTGGTGCAGTCTGAGAGCAGTGGGAGCTGTTTCCCAGCAGTGTCTGGGACTGCAGTATGACTTCCCTGATCCAAAATGGCTTTAGTGTGGGGATCACAATGCAACCAACCTTAAACCCTGTCTATATACGTATTGTTTTACAGCAGTAACACTGAATGGGAAACCGTTAATGATTTCTATTCAAAACCGGAGTCTGATCCAAATACCCCCCAGGGAGGAGATTTTTCTCTTAATTAGTATCAGATCGTTTTCACTTTCTTTGCGTTGGTGTCGGACGCACCCTTTCCAGCAAACAGAATATGTATGTACACAGCTGATGAGGCCTTCCTTAGAGGTGACACTTTGCCACGATTACTGCCAGCACATGTTTTATCCCACCCAAATATTATTTATTCTTTACGAGGGGCCACCTGCAGCCACGTGACATTTAAAGAAATTTGTACTTTTGGCAGTGAGGAAACTGAAATGGTACTAAAAGTGGTTTTCAAGCATTTTGAAGCATTAAGTAACCTGACAAGTTTTGTAGACGAGACTGTAAGATGCATTTCTAAACAATTTAATATGTTGGCAGAAAATGTCACTAGGTAGTGCTGCAATCACTGAAGCCATTAAATGTAAACGTGCTTTAAAGGCTTTCCTTTCCCCCTAGTGAAAATCGTGATCCGAGGCGATCGAAATACAGGGAAGACCACTCTGTGGCACCGGCTGCAAGGGAAGAAATTTGTGGAGGAATATATTCCCACTCAGGAGATCCAAGTCACCAGCATCCACTGGAATTATAAAAGTAAGCAGGAAATGGGATGCTTGCTCCTTGTTTTTGGAATCTTTTATTCAAACCGAGCTCTGTCCTTTCCCAATCCTGAGAATGGTAACCGGTTACATGTCTGCAGCTGTTCACCTTACGCCTGTGTCCTATTGTAACTTAATAACGAGATCCATTTATCGCTCTGACCTTCCTTTGTCAATATCCTTTTTGCTTTTCCTTCTCTCCATGTTCCTGATCTTCAAGCTCATGGCTAAACAACCTCACATGACTCCCATCCTTGCACTGAGCCCATCTCTGCTCACGCTCTGTTTCACCATCTCTCGCTGATTTCACAATGCTGGTGTTAGGGGGAGCTTGTAAGTCTGGGTTGGCTGCACACCGAGACCCAAAGCCGCGCAGCCTTTAATAAAGTTATCATGTAAATTATTACAGAGCACTCTAAAGTATTGCTGTGTGAATTAGCATTGGTAGATGGACAAAGTGATATCTCCAATTAGTGAGAGAGAAAAAGATACTCCCACAAGCCCCTTTCTAAATGTCAAAGATTTTTATCAATTCAAATACCTTCAGACCCATAGGTACTGCTCATAGCATTGTGGCACATTTCATGTTGGCTTTCCCTACGTGAGAACGGGGTTATCCGGCTGAGCTACACATGTCCACGGGTCTATCAGAGAGAACTAGGATTTGTCACATTATATTCAACTTAATCTACAACATTTTTAGCCATCTGTCACAGCGTGCAGAGCTTGAGGCAGAGAAACTGAGGGTTTATTCTCTAAACAGCATTGAACGGAAACATTCAGAGTAAAATAGCCGTGCTGTCACTAAAGCCGAGTTGGGTTCTTTTGGATAAGTTATTTGTCTAAATTTCGAAATGCTGTTTAGTGAGCAAACACTTTTTAGAGAAGTGTGGGGTCTGGCAGGAGTACAGAGGCTTGGTGGGGTGCAGGCACTTTGAAGGGACATTTAGGCTGGAACGGTTGCAGAGATTGAGAGGATGGGGAGGCAGGGTAGGTAAGTGTGCAGACACTGAATGAATGGTAGAGGATGCAGAACCAGGAAACTGGGGAATAAACTGCTTGTATGAGGTGATGTAGACAGTGGGAGGGGGGTGCATGTAAGGGGGGCAGACACTGAGAAGGTGGGGGTGCAGTGCATGCAAGGGGCAGACACTGAGAGAAGGTGGGGGTGCAGTGCATGTAAGGGGGGGGGCAGACACTGAGAAGGTGGGGGTGCAGTGCATGGGGCAGACACTGAGAAGGTGGGGGTGCAGTGCATGTAAGGGGGGCAGACACTGAGAAGGTGGGGGTGCAGTGCATGTAAGGGGGGCAGACACTGAGAAGGTGGGGGGGCAGTGCATGTAAGGGGGGCAGACACTGAGAAGGTGGGGGGGCAGTGCATGTAAGGGGGGCAGACACTGAGAAGGTGGGGGGGCAGTTCATGTAAGGGGGGCAGACACTGAGAAGGTGGGGGGCAGACACTGAACGGTTGCAGAGATTGAGAGGATGGCGAGACAGGGTAGGTAAGTGTGCAGACACTGAATGAATGGTAGAGGATGCAGAGCCAGGAAACTGGGGAATAAACTGCTTGTATGAGGTGATGTAGACAGTGGGAGGGGGGTGCATGTAAGGGGGGCAGACACTGAGAAGGTGGGGGTGCGGTGCATGTAAAGGGGGCAGACACTGAAAAGGTGGGGGTGCAGTGCATGTAAGGGGGGCAGACACTGAGAAGGTGGGGGTGCAGTGCATGCAATGGGTGAAGGTTGGAATGGTTGCAATGTCTATTTGCCCTAGTTCTTTGACTGGAATACAAGCTGTATTTGTTGTCGTCTTTTTGCTGAAATTAATATTTACGTGTGAAATTTCACAGCTGCTGTACATCTCCCTGTGCTTTAAATACCTGCATTCAGGGTCACATGCCGTGGCTATTTCGCTTTCTAAAGGTTTTCTGCAATATAATGCGTTTTTCATAAATATGGCAATTCCTGCCCAGCTATCGGGTTCCAAACACTGATTAAATGCTAGCAATGTCTTTATATTTATAATTTATTTTAACAAACTGTAATAAATACCTCCATTCTTTTCTTGCAGCCACTGATGATATAGTAAAGGTTGAAGTTTGGGATGTGGTTGACAAAGGTAAGTGTACTAAATGTACAAAACGGGAGCTTTAAGAATAGCAAAGCATTATGGGAGCCACCTTTTGGTTTCTCTGCCATAGAATCTCTGCTCACATATCAATGAAATAGCAGTGAGTTTAGTGGGACCCGATATTGGTGCAAAAACCGAGAATGCCACGTTTCCACAACTTTTATTTTTAAGTTTCATCCAAACAGCAGCTGTGCCACGTAAATATATGACAGTAGGTTTAAGCCCACAACCCCAGAGCCGTGTGTAGTGGGCGATTCCCTTTAGAATTAAAGCCACCTGTTGCTATAGCAATGCAATAATAGCCGTACACTCCGTTGGCAGCATCAGTACATTACCTTTTATAATGGAGCCTGTTATTAGTGCACTGAGTTGTGTAGCACCTACTCTTTCTCTCAGCCAGCAGTGCTCTTATGAATGCTGCTCAGTTATAGAATAGCCCATTGGCGCTTTGCATTTGTAACGTGAAATGTTTGTCAATTTTAGGTTTTTAATGAGTACTCCTGCCACCAGATTGCAGATACTAATGTAATTCTTAAAGGGATCCTATAGTGCCAGGAAAAGAAACACGTTTTCCTGGCACTATAGGGATAATTGGTCCCCCGTCCCTGTTCACCCCACCCCCCTCTCCCGCTGTGCTTAAGGATTAAAACCCCTTAGCCACTTACCTTAATCCAGCACCACACTCCCTCGGCACTGGTGACCTCTCCTCCCCTGCCAACATCAGCTCCTGAGTGAAGCCGAATGCGCATCCGCGGCCAGAGGCGTGCACACATTCAAACCCGCCCATAGGAAAGCATTACTCCATGCTTTCCTATGGGGATCTTATTTGACGCCCAGCCCATTTCAGTGTGATTTACTCACTGAGAATCGTGGAAGCGGCCTCTAGTGGATGTCGAAGAGACAGCCACTAAAGGCTGGATTAACCCTGCAATATAAACATAATTTCTCTGAAACTATGTTTTCAGCTGCAGGGTTAAAACTAGTGGGACCTGGCAATCAGACCACTTCATTGAGCTGAAGTGGTCTGGGTGACTATAATGGTCCTTTAATGCTTAAAACGATTAGACATGAAGCGAGGGATGGCTGGGAATTCTGTATGTCTGAGTCAGGAGCATACATAAAATAGTATGTAACTAAAAAGTGTGCATTGCTGTATCCCCATGAAATGACCGTGCCAGCTAATCAAGCTGTAACGCACTGCCCAGAAACATCTCATGTAGCTGTCCAGCGTTCTTGCGTACCAGCACCACTGGAATTTCCACTGAGTTATTTACTAAACTAGGGAAATGAATGATACACTATGGAAACGGGGAATTGGGGGCACACCCGGAACATAGATTTCTCAGAAGTGGTAATGTGTGATTTGTTTAGATGTTACATTGACTGGGAATATAATGGGGAATTCTAAATAAGAATAAGTAATAAGTTGGGATTCAGAGAAGCACCTCAATACTTCTGCCTCCATTAAGGAACATCTTAAATGTTCTATATCTAGATCTCGACCAAAACTGTTACAAAATGCATATTATAGAACAAGACACACTTAAAAAAATGCAGCTTCATCGTTTTTAAAGGCAACCTGAAAACATTCATTTTAGCAAAGAAATCTGGGGATTTGGTTCCACCATGGGCTATATTATGTTAACTCTACCACTACGTCAGAGTACCCCAATATCAAACCCATGTAGGCCCCTATTCTAAAGCCCTAAGCAATCATATGGACTAGACCTTACAGTAGACCCTATGTAGGTAGCGTTCTCCAGGCAATCACCACACCAGATCCTTCCATCAGACTGCCATATTCTGAAGTGTAATTCACTGCTTCAGAGTCCAGCTTGGCGTGGGGCATGTTGATGTGAAGTTTGTGTATAGCTGCTCAGCCATGGAAACCCATTTCATGAAGCTTCTAACACACAGTTCTTGTGCTGATTTCCTGGAGCAGTTTGTAACTCTATCCTGAGTGATGCATCAGATGATGGTGATTTTATGTTATGTATTTTAACATGCTGATGGGTTCCCTGCTCTGTGAGTAAGCCCAGTCCACCACTCTGCGGCTGGGCTGACGTAACTAGACACTTCCTCAATAATAGCACATACAGTTGGATCTAGTATGGCAGAAATTTCATGCTACGGCTGTGCCACGTTAAACCTCAGAGTTCAACCAACGTTTATCTATAAAAATTTTGTGGCTGTGTGCTGGATTTTATGCACCTGTTGGCAATGGATGAGCCTGAAACACCTAAACTAGGTAATTGGCGGGAATGACCACTACGTTTGGCAGTATAGTGAACGGATTTTTCAAGTTTTTCCTGTTGGGCTAAATTTAAACTTCACTGATTTAATTCCAAGTTTGTTGAAAGGTTCTCAGAGTGAAGGCATAACTGACAATATATTGGGTAAATGAACGTGTTACCAGGTTTGTACATGCTTTTACTTTCAGGTAAATGTAAGAAAAGAGGAGAAGGTTCTCTGAAACTGGAGAATGAGCCGCAGGAGGTGAGGAGCGCTATGGAAATGGTTTATCTGACGCTGTTCTGTATTCTGCTCCGTGCTGACATTGTGTGTGTTAACAGGGCGACGGCGACATGGCCCTGGATGCAGAGTTTCTAGACGTTTACAAGAACTGCAATGGAGTCATCATGATGTTTGACATCACTAAGCAGTGGTACGTGTATGAGTACGGCTCTTGGAATATCTGTGCTGATGGACGGTGTGCTTGGGGAAGGCTGGGGATGTTTGTTTAAATGGGTCGGAGCGGATAGCTGTTCTTTGTATGGAATCATTCTATTTAGGTGACCCGTGTGTTTTAGGATTGTTCACTATAGTGAGAACTGTCTGGAATACAAAGTAACTATTACATATAAGGCTGCAATAGCAGAATTGGAAAAATGTGACTACTTTGGCCTTAAGTTAAAATTCACATTGCATTCCAGATCATTCTCACGTTGGTGAATAACCCTGTATTGAGAGAGCTATTTGGTATCCAAGCCATAGTCCTATGTAATAATTCAAGCGGATCGGTCACTTTTAATATTTCATAAAGATATATTATTTATAAACTGCTGATCAAGATTGCAACACAATCCAAAGATAAGACAAAGTAGGGGCAAGCCTGAGGTTCACACAAGGTGGAGCTCCACCACAACCTTTGTCCAATCCCAGCAGCCGTCCCACTCGATGGCTGTGGGATACGGCTATCGATCTATGGAGGGTCTTGCAGGAACCCCCATAAACCTTTGTGTTGTACTTCCAGTTCCTATAAAACAAAAATACAGGAGCCACAAGGACCTACAAGATGGAGATTGTGGTGACCACAAGGCCTTTTCCTGCACCCACCAGACCCAAACTAGATCTGCCACTTTTGAGGGTCTTTGTTAAGTATGCAAAAAAAAAAGAAGTGACAGTTCCGACTTAAAGGATCTCTACAGGCAGAGGAACTAATAAGTTAATCTGCAGGAAATAATGCTATTTGTTATGTTGTTTTTTTATCCCCTAAAAGCTGGTTATTTTTATTTTTCTATATCACCTCTCCCATCCTCTTAGTAGTTAGACAATAAAAGCAGCAACAGGTACTGCTTTAATCACTTGCTGCTAAAGGGTGTGAGAAGCATAACTAAAAAATCATTTATTAAATATTAATACTCACATGGGGCGGAGAGGGAGGGCATTGAGATTTTTTTACTTTGTTTATGATTGAAATAAAGACAGTTGATGGAGTTATAAAAGATTGCACCTTGTAGGCGAGTAAACCAATCCAACAGTAAGCCCCGAGTATATGCCCCATGGCCACATGATCGGTCTGTTTATTGTATTGAAGGGCAGAGACCATTGAGCTGCTTCTGAATTGCCATCATTCTCTGCTAGCCTGCAGCTGAAAAAGAATTGTGGGTGTTGTAGTCCACTTGTGTACTGCATCTCTGATTAGAAGATCTGGGTCAGTTCTAGTCTAGAAGTTGGACATTTGAATACATATTGGTTTAGCAGTGACACTCCAGTTTTTTGTGGAATACACGTCCTATGATGCTCAACCAGCCTTGGTTTGAGGTTAGCAGTCGCTGGCCTTAAATAACCAGCAGAGGGCATTTCATGTCTCTGAGACCTTTGTTTTAAATACTGTATGTTATGACATTTTGGGGAGTACCTGCAGACATTCTCCATTTGCTCTGTCCAGGACATTTAGCTACATCATGAGAGAGCTTCCCAAGGTCCCCAATCACGTGCCAGTGTGTGTCCTCGGCAATCACCGTGACATGGGGGAGCATCGTGTCATCCTTCCCGATGATGTGAGGGAATGTATCGAGAAACTGAACCGGTTAGTCAATAGCCCACTTTTATTTATTTATTTATTAATTCATGTGTCTGTAAAATCAATCTGTCCTGTACCCAATTCCTGCCAGATTATGTATTGGTGATTTAATAGAGAATTCTATTTATTTAGGATTTAACGTTCCTGTAATTCCCTATTATATTCGCAGTCAATGTACCATCTAAACAAATCACACAAAGAATTGGTACAGAGGAAGTTCATCATGTGCCAGCTGTATTTTTAGTTATAGAGGCAAGGTATTAAGATTCGTTTGATTTGAAGAATTAATGTTGGCGTATTGCCAAAAGTGACGCCATATTGTGTTGCTGGATGGCTCCATGACACTTCTAAGTGAAAAAACATGGAAGGATTACAGCTTGGATATCTTGTTTTGGAGAGATTGTTTCAAGAAATTGAGGTTTTCTTCCAGGTAGAGCTTTTTTTTATTTTATTTTTTTTATTTCTTCCTTATTTGGTCAATGGTGTCACTAACGTAGTCTGCAGAGTTATTTTGTTTTTTGTTTTCTGAGGAGCTCTGCTATTCCCAGTCTGAGCGATAAAGCAGAGGAGCTCTGTTATTCCCAGTCTGAGAGATAATGCAGTTAGAAGAGCTCTGTTATTCCCAGTCTGAGAGATAAAGCAGTCAGAAGAGCTCTGTTATTCCTAGTCTGAGAGAGAAAGCGGAGGAGCTCTGTTATTCCTAGTCTGAGAGATAAAGCGGAGGAGCTCTGTTATTCCTAGTCTGAGAGAGAAAGCGGAGGAGCTCTGTTATTCCTAGTCTGAGAGATAAAGCGGAGGAGCTCTGTTATTCCTAGTCTGAGAGATAAAGCAGTCAGAAGAGCTCTGTTATTCCTAGTCTGAGAGATAAAGCGGAGGAGCTCTGTTATTCCTAGTCTGAGAGATAAAGCGGAGGAGCTCTGTTATTCCCAGTCTGAGATATAAAGCGGAGGAGCTCTGTTATTCCCAGTCTGAGAGATAAAGCGGAGGAGCTCTGTTATTCCCAGTCTGAGAGATAAAGCGGAGGAGCTCTGTTATTCCCAGTCTGAGAGATAAAGCAGTCGGAGGAGCTCTGTTATTCTCAGTCTGAGAGATAAAGCAGTCGGAGGAGCTCTGTTATTCCCAGTCTGAGAGATAAAGCAGTTGGTGGAGCTCTGTTATTCCCAGTCTGAGATAAAGCAGTCGGTGGAGCTCTGTTATTCCCCGTCTGAGAGCTAAAGCAGTCGGAGGAGCTCTGTTATTCTCAGTCTGAGAGCTAAAGCAGTCGGAGGAGCTCTGTTATTCTCAGTCTGAGAGCTAAAGCAGTCGGAGGAGCTCTGTTATTCTCAGTCTGAGAGAGAAAGCGGAGGAGCTCTGTTATTCCCAGTCTGAGAGATAAAGCAGTCGGTGGAGCTCTGTTATTCCCAGTGTGAGATAAAGCAGTCGGAGGAGCTCTGTTATTCCCAGTCTGAGAGATAATGTGTTTTTTTTAGAAAATGAACCAGTTTTAGGGAACATAGTGGCTACATCACCCCAGCTCCCCAGTGCTTGCAGTTGCGTTTTGTATGCCGGTTCCTGCACTGTTTGATTTGTTTCCTCCCCCTTTCCTTTGCTTTCCCCACAGACGCCCTGGTTCTTCCTACATTCGTTACGCTGAGTCTTCAATGAAGAACAGCTTTGGGCTGAAATATTTGCACAAATTTTTTAACATCCCTTTCCTACAGCTGCAGGTGAGAACCTTGTCCGTGATGACCTTGCTTATCCCCAGTGCTTCCCTTTAGTACCCGGTCTGTGAGTTCTGCTGCACCTCTTTTATTTATTGTTATGCCACCTCCAACCAATTTTCCCGTGTTTTCTCAGTGTCCATGTCAGTAGGTTTACGCTTCTGCAGCGCTTTGACAACCAAGCAGAATAATTTCCAATAATCCGCAAAACAAGCCATTATTCATAGCTGTCCATCATTATCATTTATATAGCTTCAACATATTCCGCAGTGCTTTCCAGTCCCACTCTACAGATCACTCAAACCTAAATCAAAATGGCAACAGGTAGGAGTGCAGAGGGCACTGCCCAGACTTGCTTACAGGGTTATACTATAATAAAGCTCTAGAGAACCCAAGGGTTGGTTTTGTTTATTGGGATTTTGCTGGTCCTTGAAAGCCTGTAGCTTTAGATCCTGCTCTCTCCTCTATAGACGTATGCTTGTATGCCCCTTTTACGCCGTTCCCAGAATGCTCTTCTGTAAGCTAAACAAGGTGGCTACTGACACGGAACAAGACCGCACTCTTCTTTCATTATGTATGTCCTCCACTCTCTACCAAGATATTTCCTCTCTTTTACCCTCCAGTTTCTCTGTCCCTCCATTGTATGGAGATCTAGCAGTGGAACAGTTACAGGTGGCTCTTAACGAGGCCTCTCCAATGTAAAAATGTCCCTGAGCTCTGAGCAGACAGTGTACACCTGAGCCTACGTTGTGTCTGGAGTTACAGCCCGCATTGCTCAGTCTCTGCACGCTAGCTGTGCATTTTTTATTGGCTTTCCGAAAGGACAGTAACTGTAACTGAAGGTGTACGGTAACTCAGGGGGAACTGATACAGGAGCTTTTTTATTTATTCATTTGCAGCCAGTATATGAGACTTTTAACCCCTTTTCCTCTGGTGGTTTCAAGATAAAAACAAAAAGGAAAACTCCTCTGATTATCCTTAGAGCTATGTGTTCGGTCATCAAAGAAGAAGTCTTCTTGTGTAGTGCAAGGCCAGGGTGGCCAAAAACCAGTCCCTCCAGCTTTTGTTAAACTGCAACTCCCATGATACTTTGCAAATTCTCCTTCATAATGAGACTGAAGCAGGGAGCCTCACAGAAACGGGTGTCTACACCTTATAGCAGGGTTAAAATTGAAATGCCACAATATATTTATAGTGGGTAAAAATTGAGCTTTGACCTAACTTTATCATTCTAAGGATTTTGTGGATGAATCCAAAAGCAGCATCATTTAAAGTGTTTCAGCCCATGAGGGGTTAAGTGGGTGGAGTCAGGTAGGGGATATGATATTTGCCTTGGTCCTAGATCATGTTTGACCTTGCTCCTGCGCATCTCCTACAGAGAGAGACCTTGTTACGGCAACTGGAGACGAATCAGCTGGACATCGATGCAACGCTAGAGGAACTGTCCGTGCAGCAGGAGACGGAGGAGCAAAACTACGAAATGTAGGTCATACATTAACCTTTTATGTCCTGGCGTCCTATACTGCTGGGGTCAGCCCAAAGGGGCGTAGTAACGTTTCCTAAAATATCTGATCTAAAGGTGTTAATCTATTAACATCTTCCTGCAGGAGTCATTGTTGTTCATAAATAGTGCTGATTTTTATTTTTAGGGACAGGGGTTAGGGCCATAAACAGAGAAACGGACCCATCCTAGTAATAAACATGCATAGGGAGTACGTTTTATGTTTGATTCCCTTGTGACCGGTTTATTTCGTACTTATTGGTGTTGTCTGTTCCAAGGTTGTGAATGATTGGTTAGAGTTACAATTTCTTTGTAAATTCTCTAGAACAAGCTTGGACGTGACAGCAGGTACTAGAGTAGCTGCCTTGGGACAAATCGTTGACCTGGAGAATATTTCCATTTAAAAGTTTGCAATTCTTTACAGTTACCAGCTTAGTGACAATATACCGGCCTTTATATTGTACAGAATCGAGTCAGACAATTGACTTAATGAGCCGATTTAGAGGAACGGAGACAAGATGGTGCTTTTTGTTAGTAAAATGGAATAGACTCATACATGGTTATTCACTAAAGTGAGAATTGACAAGAATTCAAAGTAAATTTAAAAATTTCGCTCAGAATAGATGAATTAGAAGTCAATTCTGTTTTTTCAGTTTGACCTCAAATTTGATATTCACATTTAATTTATTTTAATTTCTGGCAGTTATCGCTTTCGTGAATAACCCTGATAGATTATTGGGGTAGATTTAAACCAATGTACTTATTTTATTTTAATTATTTTTGCTGTGCTGATGGGAAGCTGTTGTTCTATGTTGTTTGGGGGGGATTCCTGATTTGACATTGGTCATATATCTTCTACTTTATTCTACAGAATATAGCATGTCATGTACTAGGTTTGCAACTTGGTATATCTCAGAATATGGTTATATATGTATTTATATTAATAATATGTACATTGTAATGCGCTTTACCAGTATATCCTGTAAAGACGGTTATTGTGCCTTGTGGGACATGTTAAGAACGGAGTTCAATCACTTGCACTTTATTTATGATCTTGGAGGTGGTCTCGTCTGCTCTGTAGGTTTAGTTAAATGTATAGGAACGCCATGATTTGAACCTGTCTAATTGCTCATTTTATGATCTCTGCAGCTTTTTGGAAATGTTAGAAACAAATAAGCATCTGGCTTCGCCTGTATCCACCAACGGCCAAAGTCCAGCCTCCGGTTCTCAGTCTCCAGTGGTCCCTCCGAGCACAGGGTCTCCTGATAGCTCTGGCCCAGGGACTCCTCTGCAGATATCGTCTTTGATTCCTGCTACTCCTCCCATAGCTGCTTCCCCGCCACCTCCTGTGTCTGATTTCCCAGAACCCCTTGCCCCATCCCCTTCCACTGTGTCTTCACCACCACCAACCCAAGCAATACCACCAAGGCGTGGATTCATGTCTCGGCTCTTTGGTTCCTCCACTCCGGAAAATGTTCCGGCCAAAGCAGGTGAGGACGACTGTTCTGAGCCATGAGAGTTCTCTTTGCCCCTTTTTAACTTTCTCATTTTAACTACTGATGCTGTGCAGTAACAACATTTATACATGCTCCGGTTCAAAAATACTGCATGTACACATGATGTGTGCGTATGGACATGCATATGATGTCAGCACAGAATTCAGTATCTTTACTTAGTGGACGCAGAGTAGATTAATGTACGATATATGAAAGTAAAATTTGTCAGCACTTGGAGTCTTTCTTGTTATGAATGTTATAACATTCAGAATATGTAAAACTTCTCATACAATGATTTTTTTTGAGATGCGGTGTTCCATGTGTACGAATATAATCATTACTGGCCTTTGGCCTGACCAAGTCAGTATAGCTTTCTTCAAAATCTAGTAAATGCTCAGGTTCTCTCCTCATACTCTGTTACAGCTAATTTAAAGGGTTACTCCAGGAACCATGACCTCTTCATATTATAGAAGTAATAATGGTGCCTGGAGTCTATATGCAGCATTTTAAATGTCTTTTGATAGAACTAAATGGTGTTTAATATGAAGTGTTGCTTTTTTTTTTTTTTTAGTCATGTAACATCATACCTGGTCTCTCCGTAGGATTGATACAAAATGTTGTATTCCTTGCTATGTATCCATACTTTACTTTCTCCAGTAGACAGTGAATCCCCTGGTGGCGAGCAGATTAAAAAAGTGCAGAGCGTGGAGGATTTTGTTCCTGACGAGAGCCTAGACCGTAGCTTTCTGGAGGATAGTGTGACCCAAAAAGAGACGGAGAGAGCAACACCCAGAGAGAGGAAAGACAGCGACAGGCGAGTCTGGCTCCTGTGTCTTCCCCTCATTTTATCCCACATTCTGGTCCAGTAAACAGCCGTACGTGTGTATAGAGCAAGAGCCTGTGTTCCTTACACTTCTGTATCAGTAAAAAGGATAATGCCACAGGAGCCCATTACTGCTTGTTATAGTGGAGATATTTATAGACCTAAACAGGAACTCATCATGCAAAACTAAACACTGATCACTTTATAGAGCAGGGATGGTGACCTTTGGTGTTCCAGTTGATGTGTACTATGTCTCCCATAATGCTGACAAACCAACATCTACCATGCCAGAGATTGCCTGCCCATGTTAAAGAGCAGTGGTTCCCAAACCAGTCCTCATGGCCCACCAACAGTCTGGGATTTATGTACTTCTCTTTTTTATCCCAGTGGAGATTCTGACCAAACCGTGGCTGTTGGTGGATCGTGAGGACTGGTTTGTGAAACACTAATAGAGAATACATTGTGCTATGTATATTGCTTCCAAATGGGTACGTTGAATTTCAGAAGCAATTTTTTTTGCATATACTGGTGATACTCGAAAAATTAGAATATCGTGCAAAAGTTGATTTATTTCAGTAATGCAACGTAAAAGGGGAAACTAATATATGAGACGCATTGTGGATTTGGGGTTTTCATGAGCTGTAAGCCATAATCATTGCACTTATGACAAATCACGGCTTGAACTATCTTCCCTTGCATGTAATGCGTCTAACTCCTATATTAGTTTCCCCTTTTACGTTGCATTACTGAAATAAATGAACTTTTGCACAATATTCAAATTTTTCGTGTATCACTTGTAATATTTGGATATTGATATTAAAGGAACACTATAGGCTCAGGTTCACAGACATGTAATTCCTGATGGATTTCCTTAATACATTATATTAATCATCTATACCGCTGGGCATCACTTTTCATGTGTCATCAAAATCCGGATTAAACATTGTGCGTCCTGGTAAACCATCCTATAGAGGCGCGGCTTTGTGCAGTTTTGCTTACATCTATTTCAGCAGCAATCTTGGCAATATTATCCAGCTTTTAAAAACAATATATTTTATTCCATAAATGGAATAGTTTACTCAAAGGAGATTGGTTTATATTTAAAAAAAAAAAAAAAACTGTACTGACCAGTCGACTTTAATGTGTTTTCCACGTAACAGACAAATATAGCTGATCAAACTGTAAACTGCAAGGCATGCTATTGTAATTCACACACCTTCTGGTTTTAGTTATATTGGGTCCCTGCTCACACAGTGACTTATCAATCCTTGTCTTGTCCCTTTACAGTGATGGGGAGCTTCCTGGTACAAACCCAATGGTTGCTGGCTTTCAGGACGATCTTGATCCAGATGACAGACCAGCAACGAAGACCGCTACACTCACCGTGATTCCCAGCAAGAACATCACATTGTCCAGCGATGAAGAGGACCATACACCGGCTGTAACGATCACTGCAGACAAGGATAGCGACTTGGAGACAGACCCCTGGTACGTCATACAGTGAAAAAAGTTAAAACACAGGGCAAAAAGCTTGCTCTGCTTGGTAAAACAAGTAACAGCTGACTGAGGGGCTGATTGGCTGATACTCACCAGGGAATCATGACTTCTGCACCCTTCCAGTGTTTCCATATTGTCGTCTGCATCGAGGGGATGGATACTTTGTACGGGTGCAGTATGTTTTATCATATTGTGAAATGGTTTTCGGCTATGAACAGCCTTTCCGATGTTGCATATCGATTTCCATTTGCAGAGCTTGTTCTAGTAATGTGCCATATAAACCCATTCTTCTTCTTTTTTCTGCTTTATGAAGCTACGCCTCTTAAAGAAAAAAGTTCAAACCTTCAAAATAAGATTTATTAATCGAACTGTGAATTATGGGTAATTGACAGGGCAAGTTTTAGGAGCAATAGCTGAGCGAGAGAATCTTTCCAACTTTGCCTAAATTACTGGTCACTTCTCCACAGTACTTGGATCAGGGAATAAACCTAGTGCTCCAGTGTGCAGATAGTTTTTATGTTTAAATGGTCTGCTGCAGAGTGTTTGTTTTAGTAAATCCCTTTCCAGGATATACTTTGTGTTCAGCAGAAGGCCACGCTTACTTTCCTCTTTGATTTCAGTTCCTGGTTTTGTTAGGGTCCCCTGCTTGGGCCAGGAGAGTGCAAATTTAAAGGGGATCTGTCCCCATTCCAAGTGCTTTAACTACGCGATTAAATAATCCTCCCTCCCCCCCCACTTCCAGCTGTCCAGGACAGGAATGGGTCTAACCATTCAGGGATTTGCTGCCTCCATCCTGCTCTTTGCATTCTTCCTCAGCGTTTATGCCTGCGTTACGGAAGGATGGCTTTCAGAGTAATTGCAGGGGAAGCTTTCCACCCATCGAAGCAGGGTCATATAGTCACAAGTCGCCTGATTCTTCGTTCAGTCAATGGCCAGATAAACAGATTAACCCTTGCAGCTGGGATATTGAAACATGAAAACTATTCACACAATTCACATGACATATTATCAAGAAACATGCCTAACCCTGCTCTTGAAAGGGTTAAACTGTGGCATGTAGTTTTTCAGATGGCTCCTGATGGTGCCCAGTTATATCCATGTCTTACAAAGTGCATCTAATATGCCCAAACTGATGTAAGTGGGGTATATTCGTTACATTCCTGAGCCACGGGTGGGAACTGGTATTATGGAAACGTGTCGCTGTGAATGCACCCAAGCACTGCATAGAATGAATTCTACTTTACTGACCGTGTAGCAGCAAGGTTAAATCTCACAGCAAAAGTGAAGGCTTAACCGCCTGTTTTCTGATATTGTGTCTGTACAAGGTCTGTGCTTTACAAGTAATATACATGTCCTTCACAGAACACACACATTCAGCAGCACAATAGACAGACGAAATAAAATTTATTTTTTGATTTTTGAAATATATTTAAAAAGTAGAGGAGTAGAGGGCTATAATCCTCCCTCTCCCCCCCTTCAGCATTAATAAATATTTAGTTAAAAGCTTTCATTGCATTAGATAGAGAAGAACCCTGCATCGTATATTTCTTTGCCCCTTTCTAGAACATGGGCACCTAATCCTGATTTAAAGGGAACCATAACTTAATCAGAATTGAGTTCTTATGTTGCAAGGAGGTCCTCAGGCACTGTCTTATCTCAAAGGGTTAAACCGTTAACTTGCCCGCATGGTTTATCCCTGATCCCAGCTGCCGTAGTAATTGCACACTGACCTGCTATTTCCTATTGATGACTGGTTTACTCCCTAATCTGATCATGCCACAGTGAAGATGTACAATCGGTACTGGGGAAGAGTTTCCCAAACACTTATTTTTTTTTTTTTCATTTGTATTACTGTCTCTATAAAATCTCTTTGCAGCAGCACTGGATGAATTCGCCTCCTCTCCCCCTCCCCCCCCCCCATTCAATGCTATTAAGTATTTATGAGGAAATTCATCCTGCAGACTGGCTTGAGGTTAAATATGCAGCACATAAAAAAAAATACAAGATATGGTTTGTGCTGGTTTTTAAATGGCTTCTTCCGGTTGCCACAATCCTGGTGTGCTAGGAGGTCAGACGAATCCAAGGTTGGCAAGGGTAACACAGTATGAGACAAACACGGAATCTTAGCATTGATTGTCCAGGTTTCATTAAGATAATCAGCAATTAGACATGAAGTCGGTGATTGTGGAGCAGTAGATTACCCGCACAGGACAGCCATTGATCACGGTATTGATTACTGGGAGTAAAGGCTGTGAAATCTTTTCAGACAGCCAGTCCCAGAATCCCACTGAGCGAGACATCCTGCCAGCGTGTTAACTGTGTAATCTCATGTAACCCAGCACACGTCCGCCTAGATCACCATACTCATTCAACAAACACTTGATAAATTACTTCCATACAAACAACAAAGCCTAGAGAAATTACTCCGGTAGAGTTCTTGCTCCAGTAAAGAGAATAACTTTTTTTTCTTTCCTGTAAAGCAAGACCTTGATTAACAATTAATGGTAATGGGCACTTCTGGCGTGCCACACAACAGACGCTAAATCCATCTTCTTGTGCAGAGATTTTTAGGTCTCCTGGCAGACTCACTTGGAGGTGGGTGTGTATACATATATATCCCTACATATCACCTGCCAGGCACCTCTATCCAGGGGGCAAGTCAAATGATTGGGGTGGGTAGTCTTTCTAAAAAAACACAATTGATTAAAATGTTTAAAACCAGGATGCTTACTTTGAAATGTGTGTTTTTTTTTTATTTTTTTTTTATTATAATTATTTTTTTCTGGGATTTGATCCAGTTTGCGGAGAGATTGTGTTTCTGATCTCTCAGCCAATACTTTGTTTCCCATTCTTATTATTGGGAAATCTATCGAGTGCGCATGCATGTACGATGCTGTTAGGATTTCTTAATTAATATAAAAATGTCTGCACTTGTGCACAGCAGACCTTGCTCCTGGAGAGTGGGAGGCTACCCTTCATTTTCACAAGTGATCTATGTGTCTTTATTTTTCCCCAGGTAATATAAAAGCTATGTTGTACAGAGCAGCCTTTTCAATAGAAAGGGGAGCATTCCCTGCAGGAGCTTATTGGACTGTTTTCCCTCTTTCTGATACACTAATTACATTAACAGGAACTGTTGTTGTTTTTTTGTCTGTAGTAGAGAATTTGTCTTATTCATGATACAAACATACATTTAATTTCCCCTTTGAATGTGTGGAAGACATATAATTTCACATTGTGCCTGCATTTTAGGAAAACCTCAAAGGTCACAAGCTCCCAGATCCGTCCTCCGATTCAACATGAAAAACAGAGTCATTCCCAAGAAAAAGCACCTTCTTCAGGGCCGACGTCTACCAAACCCAAGAAAGGAAAGGCAGGGGTCCAGGAGGAGTCTGACAGTGACCAGGAGGGGCCAATAGCCACACAAATGCTGTCCTTTGTCATGGACGATCCAGATTTCGACAGTGAAGATTCAAGTCATGTCACTAAAAGCGCAGTGAGTAACAGTGTCATTCCTGTGTGTGCACAATGTCCTCCGTTATGGCATATTGTGAGCAGATTGTGTTTTATTGCCCTCAGGATGCATTCCCAGTGCTGAACAATATATCTGACAGTTCTAGTGAGGAAACAGCCCCGTCGCAACCTTCACTCACTCCAAAACCAATTGTACCCACTTTTAAATTAAAGGAGGAAGCAGATCTTTTTGGTCTGGGATTTGAGGAGAAAGTGACTAACGATAATCCTGAGGAAGGTATGTAGCTGTCAATCAAGGAAAAGTGACGTTTCCCAGACATACAGAAGGTCCTGGCTGTATGAATTAAGCTGTGAGCGGCTATTCGACTCGTCACTGAGCGCCAGTCTTTTCTGTTTTTATTTCTAGATAAAGAGAGCCGGAATTCCAGACTGAAAAAGAAAAAGAAGAAAAAATCCAAGGAGGTGATCTGAATGTTTTCTTTTAATGGTTTTCAGACTTAAAATATCATTAATCTGATTGACACGTTTCTCCCAAACGAGACATTACTTTAGTTGCCTTTTCATTTATTGCGACTCTAAGATTTGGACACACTCTGTGTATTCTGCATCCCTCTACCCAAACGTTTACATAGTTGCATTTCTCCTACTTTGCTTCCTTTTGGGCTTTCATTTCAGGGAATGTAGATACACAAAAAAAAAAAAAAATTAGATCAGTTATGTTTCCAGTTTAGATGGGATATGAATATTTTCTGTTTGGCCCAGAAAAAAAATGGAAAGCTAAACAAATTCCTTGTATTAAAAACAGTACCCCATCATTAAGAGGCTGAGTATGATATACCTTTCAGTTAACGTATAGTTAAAACTGCCGGCCTTAAAGAGATTACCTGTGGGAAAATGAATTCCGCAATCACCAGGTGTTGGTCCTTTCGCATGGGACACAGAGTGGATCAACATTGCTAATTGTATCTTAATTCTTAATGCTTTATACAAAATGGCATATTATCTTACACAGACTGGTTTCTTACTCGAGGGCATGAATCAGGGTATTTTGTCTTGATCGTACAGCAAATGATTGCTCCTAGAAATTAATTCAAAATTCGTGTTTTCTCCTTTTAAGGGGTAGGAAATTGAGCCGTCTAAATATGGGGATGTAGCACGAGGCTGTAACAATATTTTTGTGTGTGTTTTATTATTTTTCTTTTATTCCTGTTATGGCTGTTCTGACATCCTCTGCCATGAAGGGATGAATCCGTGTCTTGCTTTTCTGTGTGATTTTCCATAAAATGTTCTGCCTTAACCCTCATGACTTGGTTGTTTCTTTTTCCACAACAGGCTCCAGAAGAAGACAAATCTGCCAAGAAGAAGACCAAACACAAAAAAAGCAAAGAGAAGGAGGAGGGGAAGGATGAAAAAAAGAAAAAGCCGAAAAAGAGACCTGAAAAGGATGCTTATGATGAACTGGAAGCCTTCCTGGGTGGTGGGGCCCCGAGCCAACCCCAGACAGGGGAAGATTATGAAGAGCTTTGAGGATGGGGCCATCCTTCCTTACAGCCCCTCAGCGTCACTCCTCTTCCATAGTTCCTGTCTGCGACCTCCTACATCCGATGCTGGACAGATCCTTTTTCAGTCTACTGACCCCTGGCTTTTACCTTCTGGGGGGGCAGTATTTTACCTGCAGGGACTTGGTGACCAAATGGTCCAAACCATAAAAAAAAGATAAAAATGGCCATTTGTCATGCTGAAAAAATACATTCTCAACCATTGGGCTGCGCAATATGGTCTGGATGCCACCGCCAATACAAAGCGTATTTTAAACTTTTTCTTCTTTTTGACTTGCGTCTTTGTTTTGGGTGACAGGTTTTGTTATTACAAATATCTGCGCCCAACCATTTAAAATCCCCTACAAAGCAAGGTACAGTTTTTGCAGCTACTCGGTTAAATGCACATTCCATGTACCTCCCTTTACCCGCTTATTCAATAGCGGTGATTAAAACAAAGTGCTGTCTTTTTTACACATGCTGGTTTACAGATTTTTTTTATTTTTATTTTATGTTGTGTAACATTGTGGTTTCCCAGTGTTAAATATACTTGATACAATAGCCCTAATGCATGTATCTCACGTGTCACAATCATAGGTGTTTGGATGTGCACCCCTAGAGCAGACACACCAGGCTCATTTAGCGCTGCCGTCAGTTCAACCAGCATTCCGTCATTGTATTAGTCTTCACAGAGCAATGGATAGACACACAGGTTTGTTTTTCTTTTAATCACAGAGAAATAACTCATGGTAACTTGGAGTGTTTTCTCTCTCCGAAATGGCGGCCTTTATCTTGCTCAGATAAACATTTTATGCCTATTATAATGGGCTTTTGTGATTAACCCGGGCGACCTTGCAATATGTGTTGTTTAACTCTTTTATGTTCAGTGCTTTCCATAACTCTTAAAGGGTTAAATAAGTGGACCCTCGCTAACCTCGTGGTATTTTCAATTCAATGAAAAGGCAAGGAAGGTTTCGGAGTTATTGAACAGCAGATGTGCATTACTTTAAATTTATAGTTTGTATTTTTCTGTCCGTAATTGTAGAGTGAGTGTATTCTATCCCAGTATGAACATCTCCATGGAAACTTTCCTCATTTTGAGATCTGTTTGAAGTGATAAGGTAATTTGGATTGGGGGTGGTGGATTTTGAATTCCTCCCCCCGCCCCCGACATCCCCCAAATTTTTGTGAATTCCACAATATAATTCCCTTAACATCCCATGACTCCCTCTAGTAACCATCAGTCCAGTTACTCCATTCTTTGTGCTGTTTGACACAGTTACTCCTTTCTCCTGGATGATGTACAAACAGCGATACAATATCATGTGATTGCGCTGCTGTTTACATTGTCTGACAAATCTTTCATGACAAACTGGCTTCGTAAGTGTCTAGTCTGAGCTTTCGCTCAAATTGTTTAAAGGTGTAGGGACCGACGGCAGGATTTTGTGTGAAATTTTGCACATTGCAGGGATTTGCACCCAATACGGGACCACATATCTGATGTAACATTGTAGACGGGGCTGAATTGCAGGTGACTTAGAAGCATGGATTCCTTTTTAACTCCATGAATTGTTGTTTCCATTGAAGGGTTAAAGCTTAATCATTCCTACTTTCGTAGTGGTGCATTGTCTTTTGTTTTATCCCAATATACAGGAGAAACTGCATTATGCTCACACAGAGAAACACCTATGCCGGTCTGGGGGCTGAGGTTGGAGTTGGTTGAACATGGTTTGAAGGTATAGTCCCAAAAAAAACTGTAGTCACACTCATTACCCCATTGCCTTCAGCTTTACATCTACCGTGGCTCAGAAGTATTTGCATTATATTGGAATAAATTCCATCTGTTTTTAATGAAACCATGTCCCTGTCCACTGCCAGGATCTGGGTGTGTATCCACCATCTTGCTTTTGGGCTTTATCTGTGAACACCACTAACTCCACAAGCTGCAGAGCAAGGGTGAGGTGTGCTTCCTTTCTATACAAAATCCAGTTCTTGAATCAAAAAGACAATGGTTTTTAATCATGTGCTCAGTATGTGTTTGGTTTTTTTCTTCCGGGGCCCACGGTCTGGGTGTTTGTCTAGCAAAGATTTCTGATCCAGGTGGTCTGAACGCAATGAAACCCATTGGGCCCCGCTAGTTTTTATGTTGCCCGCAGGATTCCTATGGTTTTGAGCTGACACTGCATGCAGGGTTGATGGGATCCATCACAGAACACTAGACTGCAACCAGCTGTATCTCATTGGAAACATGACAAAATAAAGTAAATACATTTTGTGTAATGTTGGTGTGCGTTTCTATTTGCGGTGTGTGTCAGATTATCCCACTTTTATTGTAAACACAGTAAGGAAAACATATCTTCTGGTTTGTTTAATAAAAAGGACAAAACGTTTACTTTTTAAAAAAAAAAAATCCTTTTTTTTTTTGTGTGTGCGCAAGGGAGTTTACATTGCCACAACAGCAGTAATAAGCAGTACATTGTCATGAAATATGAAATTGAACATTTTTATAATTATGACCGTAGAAGCCTAGTGTACATATCAGGCAGCGAAACCGTGCTAGTGGCAATCGGAGATAGGGTAACAGGATGCTCAAACACACTGGAAGCGTGCTGGTCTGTTATTTAAAGGTGCAGCGCCTATGGGTGTCATCAGGATGGTAGTAGCTATGTTGGAGTAGTAGTAGGGTAAACTTTGAACACAAAATACATAGTGCAGATGTTTCCTGCTAAGTTAAGTAACATACATAGGAATTGCTTAGGTAAGATATAATAAGCTACATGCAAGGCTGTAATAGTTGGGACAGGTTAAGTAATGAGCGCTAGGTTACATGCTAGGCGAACAGATTTTATAATAAAGACCACTGGGGTCGAGCTAACTGCTGTACATAGACTTATGTCTGTGTAAGACCATGCTGGAGAGGTGGTTAGGTGAGAGCAGTAACCGAAATAAAAAATGGCTGCTGGAGAGGTTAGAGATGTCTGGGTCAGGGGCTGTAAGTGGTATCCCAGACGCTGCAGCCTCTTGTGGTGACATGAGGTGCCTTGAGGTCGTCGCTGGAGGCTGAAAGTCTGAGTAAAGTTTGTAGAGCAGGTCTAAGTTGGTGAAGTAATGTAGGACTACAGTTCTTGGCAGGTATTACTGGGTTCCCGTTGCTCATTGTTGTTATTATTATTATTATTATTATTATTATTAGAGCTTTCCCTTCACGGTTGTGAGGCATGTTGGCAAGCTTAGTGGCTGTCTAAGGCTGTCCGGTTTTCACCTTGCTGAGCTCTCCCTCTCAAGGGTTAACAGTCTGCTCACCGCTGGGCTTGCTTTATGGTTGTGCAGGTTGGTGAGCGGCACTACTTCTCTCCTCTGAGGCTTCATGAGGTAGGGGCAGTTGGTGTCAGGCTCCACACTTCCGCCATCTTGGAAGGTAGGTCTTAGGAGTACCTTGCCTCTCATTCTCCACTCCTCCCGAGCTCTCCGCAGTGGGGACTGGGATAACCCCGCGTCCCATGGGGGGGGAAACGGGACCAGTATGCGTCTCAGGGAGTTGGCGTGTGGCAGCAGCCATCCACCCTGCACCCCTCTCGAGTAGGCCGCAGCCCCAAAGCTCATGATCTCTGGGTCTGCCACCTTGTCCACCGCCATCTTATTGATTTTTTTGATTGGGTAACTAAAATTATAGATCAGGGTGGTGCAGTAGACATTGCTTATCTAGATTTCAGTAAGGCTTTTGACACTGTTGCACATAGAAGGCTTATCAATAAACTGCAATCTTTAAGTTTGGATTCAAATATTGTTGAATGGGTAAGGCAGTGGCTGAGTGACAGGCAACAGAGGGTTGTAGTTAATGGAATATATTCGAAGCTTGGACTTGTCACCAGTGGGGTACCTCAGGGATCTGTACTTGAACCCATTCTCTTTAATATTTTTATTAGTGATATTGCAGAAGGTCTTGATGGTAAGGTATGTCTTTTTGCTGATGATACTAAGATATGTAACAGGGTTGATGTTCCAGGAGGATAAGCCAAATGACAAATGATTTAGGTAAACTAGAAAAATGGTCAGAATTGTGGCAACTGACATTTAATGTGGATAAGTGCAAGATAATGCATCTTGGGCGTAAAAACCCAAGGGCAGAGTACAGAATATTTGATAGAGTTCTAACCTCAACATATGAGGAAAAGGATTTAGGGGTGATTATTTCTGATGACTTAAAGGTAGGCAGACAATGTAATAGAGCAGCAGAAATGCTAGCAGAATGCTTGGTTGTATAGGGAGAGGTATTAGCAGTAGAAATAGGGAAGTGCTCATGCCATTATACAGAACACTGGTGAGACCTCACTTGGAGTATTGTACACAGTACTGGAGACCGTATCTTCAGAAGGATATTGATACCTTAGAGAGGGTTCAGAGAAAGGGCTACTAAACTGGTTCATGGATTGCGGGATAAAACTTACCAGGAAAGGTTAAAGGATCTTAACATGTATAGCTTGGAGGAAAGACGAGACAGGGGGGATATGATAGAAACATTTAAATATATAAAGGGAATCAACACAGTAAAGGAGGAGACTATATTTAAAAGAAGAAAAACTACCACAACAAGAGGACATAGTCTTAAATTAGAGGGACAAAGGTTTAAAAATAATATCAGGAAGTATTACTTTACTGAGAGGGTAGTGGATGCATGGAATAGCCTTCCAGCTGAAGTGGTAGAGGTTAACACAGTAAAGGAGTTTAAGCATGCATGGGATAGGCATAAGGCTATCCTAACTATAAGATAAGGATAGGGACTAATGAAAGTTTTTAGAAAATTGGGCAGACTAGATGGGCCGAATGGTTCTTATCTGCCGTCACATTCTATGTTTCTATGTTTCTATGTGCGTGTTTTTCTTGGGATCTTTGAGGGTGTCAGAGCTGCAGGATTTGCCTAAGAGGCCAGATTTCTCCGGAGCCTCTCCTGCATGCGACCGGTCAACATGGCGGTCCGGCCCCGCTCCT